ATCCCCACAACACAATACAGCCAGTCATGCCTTGAAGGCATTCGGCGTAAAAAAAAAAAAAATAAAATAAAAAAATAAAATAAAATAAAATGGATCCACACTAGCACCTCATTGGTGGCATTGCCAGAGGCCTGAAAGAAAGCATAAGCCCACGGTACCTAGTGTCATAGCAAGATGGACCAGAGAGGAACAGCCCTGATTCCCAGCTCTGACCCCCCACGCACCCCCACATGTAGCCCTAGGTGTAACCTTTGTGTAGAAGGTGAGCTCTAGTGGCTGGTTAGGGGGTGTGAGTCCCAGCCTAGAGCGCTGCTGCGCACTCACTCATGCCCTAGGAACTTGGAGGCCTGCCTGCGGAATTCCTGCAGAGGTCGGGAGCCGCCTTTGGCTTTGTAACTTTGGGAATTCTTTCTGGATTCCACCTTCCATCACTTCCGTGCCCCTGGCATGCCATACTCTTGTCTGGAGGCTCTGGGAGGAGGTCCAGTCCATTGGCTGCAGAGGTGAGCACAAGCTACAGTTTCACCATGGCCCGAGGAGCCATTGGGGCTCCATGGGCCAAGCCAGGATGCCTGTCCAGCCCTAGTCCAGCTGGAGCTCTGGGTGCCCTGCAGGTTGGTGCTGGGAGCCCAACTCAGTGGGCAGTCAGATCTTAATGAACTGTAGCTCAGGGTAGCCTAGTACATGAGAAGCCCTGGGTTTGACTGCAAAACAAATGAAAAACCCATTCTGGCTCCTTGGATGGACATGGGGAAATAGCAGTGGCCTGGACGGAGCTTTTGGGCACAGTGGGTTTGGAGGGGCTGCAGCCTGCCAGGGTATCCCTTGGCCAGCTGGTCCATAGATGCAGTGTGCAGGCTGTGAGCGTGCTGTCCTCAAGCCCACAGAGGGACACTGCTGCCCAGACCCAGGAGCCAGCCCAGGGCAGAGCTGGGAGAGAACACCCTAGTGTCCTTTGGGCTGCAGGGTCCATGGTGAGCCTGTAGGAAGGCCTTAAGGGCAGGGAGGAATAGGGGCCTTGAGTCTTTGGGAGGGGTAGCTTACTGGAAGGGGCTGACCTTGAAGGCTGGGGAGGACTGGGCACTCCAGGGTGGCCTGGGCAGGGGTGGCTGAGGCACGTGAGGACAGTGGGCTACCCAGCGGCATTGGAGGACAGGGTGGAGAGTCACAGAAGAAAGCGGAGGGGGTCAGTGGCTGGGCTGGGTGGGTTGGGCTAGCTGCTCCTTCCGCTATGGAACCCATGTACTGCTCTGTCCGTTGAAGCAGATGCTGGCTCCACTATTGCCTGTGGCAGTCAGATCCTGCTAGGAAGTCATTTTCCTCAAGCACCTTTGTGTCTTCTGCGTGAAAGGAGCGTAACAGGCACTAGCCCCTTCCAGGGTGGCAGCCAGGGCTGGGTCTGGCTCTGGTGCCAACCTCCATTGGGCGTGAAGTAGATGCCTGGTGAATCAGAGTCCCAGTTTCCCTGTTTCCTGATGAGTAAACAGGTCAGACTGAGGACCCTCTCACTCCATTTCCTGAGCACAGAGAACACAAGGCCGGCCCCTCACCCCTGCCCCTCCCGCCCGCCCGCCAGGCCCTGGCGTACACACTCAGGCTTCCTGTCCCTCCATCCGGCAGACGGGCTTGGGAGCTGGGCTGTTGGCACTAGATGCGGGAGGGACTTGGTGCTGTCCTGAGCTGTGGAGCGGGGGTGGGGCTTCCTGGGCGGGGGAGGGGTGGGGTGTGTGTGGAGGGGGCTCTTGCTCCTGCCTGGGGAGACTAAGCAATGCTGTTGCCCTGACAAGCTAAAATAGGGAAAGGCTCGGAGAGACATCCACAGAGAGGGAGAGAGAGCAGGCAGCAGGTCCACAGGGAAAGAGCCCCAGCCCCAGCGAGGAGTGGGTCACGGCTGGAGTTCAGCCTCCACTCCCTTCTCGAGTGTAGCATCCTGCACGACTGTGCGTGGCTGCCTTGACTAGAAAAGGAGGGAGAGGGCTGAGGAGATAGCTCAGCGGACTAAGTGCCTGCCTGGCAAGTTCAAGGACCTGGGTTGAGCCTGGGTTGATCCCTGATGCTGCGTGGCCGAGCAGGCCACTGAAACCAGGTGTGGTGGCGTAAGCCCGTAATCCCAGCACTGGGGAGGCTGAAACAGGAGGATCGCTATGAGTCTGAGCTGTTTAGTGAGACCCTGTACCAAATAGATACGTTTTTTAAAAAAACAAAAGGAGGGAGAGAAGCAGAAAGACAGAGATCAAAGGCTGATGGAGAAAGGAGAGAAGGCAGCTAACAGAGATTTTCTGATGAAGAATAAGAAAAAAGTTAGTAAGGGGGCAACAGAGTGCAGGCTCTGATCCCAGGCTCTGGGCTGAGGCTCAGTTCCAGGGTGATTCCTGGAACCCAAGTTCCAACCCTCACTGACTCCTGGGAGGTGGCGGTGTCTCCCATTTTGCAGATGAAGAGTTAGAGGCCCTGAAGGCTGAGTGATGTAACTGAGCCACACTTCCTGAGAGCCACAGGGGAGGACCTGAACCTTTGGGCTACAAGATGAAAAGGGGACAGAGAAGAGAGGAGGGCAGGAGGAGCTGAGCTGGGCTGGGGAGGGGCCCAGGCCTTCTGCCTCTCAGTGCCTCTGGCTTGGAGATGCACCTGGCGGGCGGCCCACGGTTCTGGGGGATCGGGTTCTCCGTGGAGCCCGCCCCTCCCATCCCCACTTCCTTTCTCTGTGTCAGCATTTTCAGCCCCCTTCCCATTCCCGGATCATCCTGGGGGTTCTGCAGCAAAACAAGAAACAGTTTTTCCCAGAATGAATACTCAGAGGGCCTGATGGCCCCAAGGGAGGGATGGGGCTGTGCTGGTGCCAGAGCAGGAGTACTGAGGATGCTACGGTGGGGATGGCTAATGTCAACAGGGCTGTGCTGTGTGTGTTGGCTCCAGGAACCTTACCTATATTACCTCACTTAGGCACTCAACAACCTCACAGGGGAGTGCCCTTTTCATAGAGAAGGAGCTGAGTTGGGCTTCACAGCTGGCCTGGAGCTAGGGTGGGTGGAGGGCAAGGAGCCCAAGGTAGCCTGTGCCACACCTCAGCCCAGGGGAGCTGGAAAGGAGCCCCTGAGGAAAGCCCTGCTGCTGCTCACTTCCCCCCTCCCGTTTCCATGGCTACAGACCTTCTCCCATTCACCAGGAATTTCCAAAAGCCCCAGACTCAGTTTTGCTTCCCAGGGTCAGGGACACAGGGAAGGTAGAGACCCAGCTCAGAGGAGGCGGAGCAAAGGAGTCCTTCACTCGCTTGCTAGTCCTGACCATGTATGTGGTGGTGTTCCCACGCCTGTATGGAGTTCTCAGGGCAGCCCCCGCCCCCACCACTCCTCTCCACCCCCACCACTCCTCTCCACCCCCACTGTTTCCCCCCTCCCATGGCTGAGCTGTTACAAAGGAGACAAAACCTGGCTGCTGTCTCTCTGGGCTCAGGAAGGATTGGAACCATTGGGAGCCCTCACCAGCTGCCTGCATTGGGATCCCAGCCCTGACACTGCAAGCCATGTGATCCTGTCAGGCCTCTGACCCTCCCATGCCTGTGCCTGCTCCTCCTCTGTAACGGGTAGGGCCCAGCTGCTACTGAGGGCCGAGGTGAGCTGTAAATGAACCTGCAGACTGCTCGGCACTCTCCCTGTCCCAGCTCAGTGAACAGCAAGTTAAGGTGTCTGGGCCTGATCGAGAGGCTCAGTGGAAGATGGTGGTTGAGCAGGGGAAGGAGAACTGAGGCTGCGGTGGGGGGTCTGGAGTTTCTCAGGGGGTACACTGTGGGCCCCAGGACAGAGCAGCATAGGGAGGCGGAAGCTGACTGATGAGACATGGGGGTGAAGGGTGCTGAACCCCGCATTGCTGGGGCTGCAGGGGGCGGGAAGCGTGGGTCAGGGCCTCAGGTACCAGTGCCTGAACAAAGGCTCAGAGGGAAATAAGCGTGGGACCTGTGGCTGGGTTCCAAGTTTCCTTCTCCAGGGGTCTCAGGGCCAAGCCTTCCTTTCCCTGATAGAACCCCCCCTCCCTCTCTCCCCATTACCATCCACCCACGGTTCTCCCCTGGCCCCATGTTGGCATCCAGCCCTGGATTGAGCAGCTGCCGCCTCCACTCTGCAGCCCTGCCCTGGAGGGCCTTCACCAAAACCAAGCCTGGCCACTCCCCAGGCCCTGCACCTCCCACCAGCTGAGGGTTAGAGCTGTTTCTGGCATACTGCTATGTCCTCTGTAGGGTCTCCAGAGACCCCAAGGGCATCGGGTGCATGTGAGGGGCATGTTCACTCTTGGTGTGGGTGCCCATGTGAATTAGGAAGGACTTCCAGAGGGTTTGGCAGTTCCACCAGCATGTACCTCTGGGGTGGTCCTTGGGGGATGATATGGGCTAGCACTGGGAGGGACTCTGAAGGACACCCCTGACCACAGCCTTGGGACTGAGTTCCATGCCCATGGGCTACAGTGCCAGTTTGGGAGCCATACCACCTAAAAGAAGTCTCTAGCCCTGGCCCCCTTCTGCACCCCATTGTGTTCTGGGTGGTGGGAGGATGGAAACTCCCCAGCTAAAGGGCTCCCTGGGCCCACTATCCCAGCCAGGCTCTGTTTCCTGTTTTCAGGTTCCACATCCTGAGTACTGGGATCCCCCAGGACACGCTGTGGCTCCCACACCCTTGCTGGGGCCCTGACCCACCTGAGTTCCTCAGGTCTCACCTGGTGAGTTACTTGGGACTCAAGGTGGGTGGGAGAAGCACAGGATGGCCCGGGGGAGTGATTGGCAGGCAGCTGGGGAGGTGGGGGACAGTGGCTCCGCTCAGGGGAGGGTGTTGGAAGTTGGCTGTGGAGAGCAGAAGCACTCTGTATGAGAGGGTGAAGGCTTGCTGCTGGAGGATTACGGGGCAGGTGGGGAACAAGCAGCAGAGACAGGGTAAAGTTGAGGAGACCTGCAGGGAAGAAGGGGCTGTGCAGCTGGGACCCACAACCAGGGAGTGTGGGGGTGGAGGGGTGGGCGGGGCCAGCAGCAGCATTCCAGAGATACTCGAGGGGGTAAGGGGCCAGCAACCACGAGACCTTTCCCTCTTCTCGGAAAAATTACAAGCAGATGTGGGCGCCTTAGGGAGGCTTAGCTGAGTGAGCTGCAGGAACTCAGCTCAGGACTAGCGACCTCCAATACCCAGCACAGAGGATGGACTCCTCGAGGTCCTGACCCTCTTCCCACCCGAGGGGTGAGGCCCGGCAGGAGATGGAGAGGAGCCCGTTTCTGTGGGAGGCAGGGACCTCCAACGGTGATGGATGCTGGCCGGTGCAGGGGTGTGCTGAGAATGCTTCGCAGCTCCGGTCGGGTTGGTATGCTGCTGCTTATCCTACCGGCAACAAGACTAATGCAATGTGGTAAACTATGTGGCCAGGAAGAGTTGTGCCGGGTTGTCCACCCTCAGCCCGCATGAGCCAGCACACCGCAGTTGTGAGGTTGCCTGGAACCAGCTCACTCCAACCCCTAGAGCAGGAACCCCAACAACGTTTCCTCAGAGTGGCTTTGGAGTCTGCCTGCGTACATCAGTGACAGGGAGCTGAGCCCTGGGGAGGTCAGGTCCGTTACTATGCTGTCCTGGCTTTGGGAAGTCCTGAGCCAGAGTCTGCCTCCCTTAGAATCTACCTCTTTAGCTCCAGTCTCATCATGCCTTGATGCAGAGATCAAACTAGTGTGGGTGTGTACTAGGCTAGGGGATGGGCATTCAGAAATAAAGGGCCCTGGGCAGGGGCAGGACAGGGGCCCTTGTGCCAGCCCCTGACAGATGCGTGCCCTGGAAAGAACAAGGATCAGGACAAGGATCAGGGGTCTAAACTTCTTTCTTTTTCTTTTTTCTCTCTCTTTCTTTTTTTTTTTTTTTTTATTTTAAGAAATGGTCTACAGGGTGTTTAGAGTCTCACTACTAGATCAGACTCCTAGTGATCCACCTGTTTACAGCCTCCCAACAGCTGGGATTACAGGTGTATATAACCACGCCCAGTCTCAATTGCTGTCTCAGTGCGCCCCTGGGGTGAGGCTGGCACAGCAAGCCCAGGGATTGAACTCTGGACCCCTGCTTGCAGGCACTTTAATCCACTGAGCTATTTGGCCAGCCTAGGGGTGTAAACTTCTGTGAGCAACCTGGGGGCAGAGACCTTACCCCTACTCAGAAGTAAGATCTGGGGAGCCAGAGCCCTGGAAGCATGAGGCCAGAGGCAGCAAGCTGTTCTCTTCTGCGTGCCCACAGCCCAGATCTCTGCAGACCCTATACCCCAGCTGGTGGCCACAGTGTTCCTCACCTGCTGGGTGCCTAGCCCTGTTGCAGGTTCCTGCAATGTTGCTACCTCTGCGTCCCCTCCTTCTCCTGGCCCTAGACCTGGGGCTGACCAGAACTCTCAACTCCAATGACCCCAATACCTGCAGCTTCTGGGAAAGGTAAGAGGGGTCCCTGCTGTGTACCTTGAGGCACAAGCCCAGGCTCCCTGATTGTCCCCCAAGGGCTCTTCTTCCTAGCTCCCTCCCCTTGCCTGCTACCCTCTCTTCAGCCTCTCCCTTCCTTCTGATCTTTGCTCCTGCTCCCCTTCCTTGGGCTGTCTCTGTGTCTCACCTTTGTCGCCCGTCTCTGCCTTTTCCCTGTCTGCATCTCTGGGTTCCTGTGGGAGGCCAGCTGTGCAGACAGAGCACAGGACGGAGCCCTTCACTGTGAAACAAGCAGAGTGGCAGGTCCAGAGGATGGGGGGGGGGCAGGTCTGAGAAATAAGCCCCCAGGGCAAAAGTTAGCCAGAAGTGCTTCAGCCCATCACCACTAGTAGCCCAACCGGAAAATCAGCCCCACTCAGCCTCCCCATGGACAAGGGAGCAGAGGGATCTGGGGAGGGATCCGGGGTAGGAGGCATCCCAAGAACATTCCAGGTCTGGGAGGAGTCCGCCACACTGGAAAGGTGGGCCCCAGAAGTGGGGGTGCTGCTTCTCCAAGGAGGCCAAGCTCTTGCCTATGCCTCCCTCTCCGCCCTGTGCCCCCTCCTTGCCCCTTGCCCTGGCCCTTTTCCCTTCCTGCAGCTTTACCACGACCACCAAAGAGTCCCACTCCCGGCCCTTCAGTCTGCTCTCCTCTGAGCCCTGTGGCAAGTCCTGGGAGGGTCTCCACACCTGTCCCCGGCCCACGTGAGTGCCCAGTCCCCTCCATGGGACTCCTGCAATGTTGCCATCTCTGCAGCCCTGCCTCAGCCTGGCCCTCGCCTCCTGGCCTAGCTCTCTGTGAGAACCTGTGGCATCCAGAGGAAACCTCTGGCAGCAGGACGCTCTCATCTCCTCGCCTCAAGGCCACATGGCTTGTGCAGGAGCACATGGCTGGCATGCATGTGAATTCACGTGTGCATGTGTTTAGTGTGTGGCTGGCACCCATGCATGAATTCATGCATGTGTGTGGGTAGCGCCTGGCTGGCATGCTCCTTTGAATGAGTGTGTGTGTGTGTGTACATGCACATGCATGCAGGAGGCAGGAGGAAATACTCCTAGGCTCTCCAATCCAGAATGCTGGGCACCCCTCTGGTCACCCCTCCCCTGGGGCCCCACTGTGCTGAGGTTGGCAGCTGAGCATCTCAGGCAGGAGCACTAAGTTCCTTCTGCTGGGTCTTCCCAGGGTTGTCTATCGGACTGTGTACCGCCAAGTGGTGAAGACAGACTACCGCCTGCGCCTGCGCTGCTGCCAGGGCTTCTACGAAAGTAGTGGGACGTGCATCCGTGAGTCCCGCCTTGGGCCAGGGCGGCTGTGGAGTGGGAGGGCACTTAGCCCACCCTCCTGAAGCCTTCTCTGCCCCCACCAGGGTAGAGCTCCTCCTTTGCCCCCTCAGGTGCCTGCCTTGGTGAGCAGCCAGGGCAGTAGCAACAGGGCCAGGCAGAGATGGGTTGGAAGTGGAGGCTGGGCTGCCTGGCTCTGGAGGCCACTCACCTTCTAGGTACACTGGCAAGGGACACAACTGGGCATCCAGCTATCCACACAGCCAGGGAGCTGTCCCTCGGTTCCTGAGCAGTGTGTCCCTAGTTGTCACTTCACACCCATCTCCACCTAACCCATCCCTCCATATATCTCTGAGCTCTGGATCTGTCTCTGCCTGTCTGCCTCTGTCTCAGAGTTTGGTGTCTGGGTCCCTCTCTGTCTCTTCCTGTCCCTGGCTCTGCTGTTCTTGCTTGCTGTGCCATTCTTGTTTCCATGTCCACTGCCCCCTCCAGCACAGTGCAACTCCCACCCTGGAGCCTGCCCTCCCTCCTCTTCCCTTCCCTTCACCACCAGGCAGACTTCCCACCAGGACCAGCTCAGCCCTTGACACCGTTCTCACACAGCTTCTGTGTCCAGCCCTCACTTGAGGCCCCCCATTTTCCCATGCTTACAGTATTTCACAAAAGGGGCCAGGGAGCCCAGAACTCTGAGGTCTTGTGGAGTCCTGACCTGAATTGCTGCTCCTCCATCTTTCTCCACCATAGAACAGATCTGGGGCTGGAGGGTTTCAGTCCCTGATGGCGGTGGGAGCTGGGATGCAGAGATAAGGGGTGGTAGGGTGGGGTGGAGGCACCGTCTCATTCACCCCCATCTCTGCCCCAGCGGTCTGTGCTCAGGAGTGTGTCCATGGCCGCTGTGTGGCGCCCAATCAGTGCCAGTGTGTGCCAGGCTGGAGAGGCAACGACTGCTCCAGTGGTGAGTGGCTGGTGACCCCAGAGATGTCCTCCCTATTAGGGTGCAGATGCCTAGGACTCCAAATACCCACAGCCCCATTGCAGCAAGCTGCCTTTTCTGATGTGGCACAGAGACAGACTGGGACTAGCTTGTGGCTGGGGAGGAGTTAGGCCTCTGATGATACCTTCCACCTCCATATCCTACAGCATGTGCCCCCAGAATGTGGGGGCCGCAGTGTGACCAGCCCTGCTACTGTGGCAACAACAGCTCCTGTGATCCTATGAGCGGGGTGTGTTCCTGCCCCTCTGGCCTGCAGCCTCCTAACTGCCTTCAGCCGTGCACCCCTGGCCACTATGGGCCTGCCTGCCTGTTCCAATGCCAATGCCATGGGGCACCCTGTGATCCCCAGACTGGAGCTTGCTTCTGTCCCCCAGGGAGAGAAGGGCCCAGGTATGTAATTTGATGAAGTTGTAGTCAGGCTGCGGATACGTGCAGAAGCATGAGGTGCTCACTTAGTGCCAGGCATGGGAATGGAGTGACCAGGAGACCAAGATCCTAGTCCCAGCGCTGCTGCTTCCTGGCCCAGCACACTTGAGGAGACCATGGAGTCTTCTGGCTGCGCAGGAGCCTGCTGTCTACCTGGACTGCCACAGCTCGAGGCAGCAGGGGCGTGAGTGCATGTTGTACAGAATGACCAAGACAGGCCAGGCGCTGGGAGAGGCTGGGCAGTCGCAGGAGGGAGAGGGTGCAGGAGAAGGAGACTAAGAGTTCTGCAGCAGGGAGGAGCTGCTAGGGCTAAGCCCTCCCAGACAGAAAGTTACACGTGTCCCTCAGGGGGGACAGCCTGGCCAAGGTGAGGAGGGGACACTGCCTGTTGGTGCAGGAGTTCTTCCCCTGCTCTTTGTGTTCTGCAGTCCCTAGCAGAGAAGAGCACGAGTGACTCTGGGCCTCAGGCAGGTCTTCCTGTTAGGATGGTCCTGTGTGCAAGTGGCCACCCTTGGGTGAGGAAGTGGGTGATGGGTACTACTTGTTCATTCCCTGACTTGAACTGCGATGTGTCCTGTGATGTATCCTGTTCATTCCGCTGTCCTACAGCTGTGATGTGTCCTGTCCCCGGGGCACTGCTGGCTTCTTGTGCCCTACAACCCATCCTTGCCAAAATGGGGGTGTCTTCCAGGCCCCCCAGGGCTCATGCAGCTGTCCACCTGGCTGGATGGTATGTGTGGTGGGCCTGTGGGTGTGGGGTGGGTGTCTGGGAAAAGTTCTGGTCTGGGCGTGGCTCTAGACAGCAGTGCAGGGAGGACTCTGGGTGCCAAGGGGTCCCGTGGCCATGGGAAAGGGGCGGGGCACCTGGAATTTTGATTTCTTACACCTACAGGGCACTATTTGCTCCCTGCCCTGTCCAGAGGGCTTCCACGGACCTAACTGTTCCCAGGAATGTCGCTGCCACAATGGTGGCCTCTGCGACCGATTCACTGGGCAGTGTCGCTGTGCTGCGGGCTACACAGGCGATCGGTGAGTGGCCCAGGAACGGGGTGTGTGTGGCGGGAGGGGCAGGCTGGCGGGAGATGGGCATGGCCTGACCGTCATATGGTGTCAGGTGCCGTGAGGAGTGCCCAGTGGGCAGCTACGGGCCGGATTGTAATGGGACGTGTGACTGCGCCCCGGGTGCGCGCTGTTTCCCCGCCAACGGCGCATGTCTGTGCGAACACGGCTTCACTGGGCACCGCTGCACCGAGCGCCTCTGCCCTGACGGCCTGTACGGCCTCAGCTGCCAGACTGCCTGTACCTGCGACCCGGAGCACAGTCTCAGGTGGGCCTCGGGGGCCGGCTGTGGCGCGGGGACCCCACCCCGGGGCCTGTGCTCAGGTGTGCTCGCTCCCCGCAGCTGCCACCCGATGCACGGCGAGTGCGTGTGCCGGCCGGGCTGGGCAGGCCTGCACTGCAACGAGAGCTGCCCGCGGGACACGCACGGACCGGGCTGCCAGGAGCACTGCCTGTGCCTGCACGGCGGCGTCTGCCTGGCCGACAGCGGCCTCTGCCGGTGCGGGCCGGGCTACACGGTGAGGCGCGCCCCCTGGGAGGGGCAGGGGAAGGCGGGCCGGGCCGGGCGGGGCCCACTCACTAGCGCCCGTCGCTTTCAGGGGCCCCACTGCGCCAGCCCGTGTCCCCCTGATACCTACGGAGTCAACTGCACCTCGCGGTGCTCGTGCGAAAACGCCATCACCTGCTCACCGGTCGATGGCACTTGCGTCTGCAAGGAAGGTGGGAGGCTTGGGCGGGGCCAGGAGGCGGGGGCGGGGCCGTGGGAAGGGCTGGGGCTGTGGGACAAAGGCGGAGCTGACGGGGCAGCAGCTGGACTGTGGGAAAGCATCCAGGCTATTTCCTTCCTGGAATATTTACTTTGCTTTTCTAAAATCATAAAACTCATACTGATCTTTAAAGGCGCAGGCCACAATGCAGCTAACTGGTGAACATTTCTCACCCTCATTTATACAAATACGCACAGTAAGCCGCGTGTGCGCACGTGAAATGCCAGCTGTCCAGGAGGCTGAGGCAAGAAGGTTGTAAACTCGAAGCCAGCCTGGGCAATTCAGCTATACCTTGTCTCAAAAAATTAAAAAGTTAAAAAGGGCTGAAGGTGTAGCTCAGTGAGAATGCTTAGTACTTGAAAGCCTTGAGTTCAATTCCCGGGAACACAAAACAAACTCCACACACACCGCAAAAAGCCAAAAACATTGATAGTGCCAAAAATAGTCTCAACCCTGTATGGTGTGGCACATTGGTGACCTTTCAGCTGAACTCTGATACATTTGTGCTTTGTTTGGCTAGCTCTCTATTGAATTTAATAAACATCAATTCTCTGTTGTCTTACAACCTGAGTTGGATTGTTGCTGAGGCCACTATAATAAGCCTTTGGAGTTTTGAAGGTGTAGTGCCTAGGACTGAATCCCAGGATTTGTGCTTGCTGTGTCACCCCCTCCAGCAACAGTGTTTGTTGCCACCCTCCTGCCAACACCGACTAGTCCACATGCTCATGTCTTGTGTGGTGCCGTGTTCCCAGCTCAGAGCTCAGAGCCCGCCACAACCAGAACTCAGTGTGTGCTTGCTCAGGCGGGCAGCTGGGTTCCCATGCCCATTGCAAGTCCTCCTCCAGGTTGGCAGCGTGGTAACTGCTCTGTGCCCTGCCCACCTGGAACCTGGGGCTTCGGTTGCAATGCCAGTTGCCAGTGTGCCAATGGAGGAGTCTGCAGCCCCCAAACTGGAGCCTGTACCTGCACCCCTGGGTGGCATGGGGCCCACTGCCAACTACCCTGCCCGGTGAGAGCCCACAGCCTGTGTGCCTGGGAGGAGGGAGGGCACAGCACCCAGCTTACTGGCCTCACCACCTCCATTCTGTCCTCAAGAAGGGGCAGTTTGGCAAAGGTTGTGCTGGCCGCTGTGACTGTGACCACTCTGATGGCTGCGACCCTGTTCATGGACACTGCCAGTGCCAGGCTGGCTGGACAGGTGAGCATTTTAGATGTTTAAATCTTAGCCCCCTGTACAGTTGGGGGATGAGACCCCAAGAAATGCCTCTATGGAACAGGAGAGACCCAGGCCAAGTTTACCCTGCATTCTCTCCCACAGGTACCCATTGCCACCTGCCCTGCCCTGAGGGCTTCTGGGGAGCCAACTGCAGCAATACCTGCACCTGCAAGAATGGGGGCACCTGCCTCCCGGAGAATGGCAACTGTGTGTGTGCACCTGGCTTCCGAGGCCCATACTGCCAGAGACGTGAGGCTCCCTGCTCCCACCCCATCCTGCCAGCAGCAGGGTACTGTGCAGTGTCAGATGCTAGAGCCCAGTTCTGCCCCCCTCCTTCTTGGGCTCTTGGTCTGGCTCCAGTCTTCAGAATAGAGCAGTGGGAAAGATGGAGACAGTGACATTAAGGGTCAGCCAGGGCTGCCCTTATACCCTAGTCACTGTGTACCTTGTCCCCAGCTTGCCAGCCGGGCCGCTATGGCAAACGTTGTGTACCCTGCAAGTGCAATAACCATTCTTCCTGCCACCCTGTGAATGGGACCTGCTACTGCCTGGCCGGCTGGAAAGGCCCTGACTGCTCCCAGCGTACGTGGTGTCTCACTCTGTCTGTGCAGGAGTGCGTGCTGAGGGTGGGGTCAGGAAAGGAGGCCTGTTTCCCTGCTGCTGGGCATAAAAGCCTGTGAAACACCTTGATTCAGTTGTTCATATAAACAATATGAGCAAATACTCATTGGGCTGCACCGACATGCTGGGCCCTTGTTCTGGATGCTGAGGTGCAGCTATGAATGTCGGGAAAAACATTCCCTGCTCTTTGAGACAGGTAGTCTGAGAAGAATATTGTTTTATGAAAGTAGGGGAAAGCCTAAGGTCAATTTTGGACGTATTCTTTTGATATTTTACATTTTCTATGTACGTATGTAACGTATTCATATGTGGTCTTTCCCACATAAATATATGAAGATGATGATGGAAAAGACAAAACAGAAATTAAGGCACGTTTTTAAAAGGAAACACTAGGGACCGGGGTCTGATCCCTGGCATGCCATGCCAGCTCCGCCCCCAGGGCACGCTGAGACGGGGACTGAGACTGGGCATGGTGGTGCCCACCTGTAATCCCAGTGCTTGGGAGGCTGAAAACAAAAGGATCACTGCAAGTCCGATCTGTGCAGTGAGACCCTGTAGACCATGTACTAAATAAAAAAAAAATAAATAAGTAAAGGGAAACACAAGCTATCGCCATGCAAAAGTCTGGAATTAAGCTTTCCAGAAGTCAGAGTAAAGATTGAAGTTATTCTTTATTTTTTTAAATTTGTGTGTGTGTGTGTGTGTGTGTGTGTGTGTGTG